TTGATTGCTTTATTTTTTTGTAATCTAGTCCATTTTTCCTTGTATCATAAAAGCTTCATGACCCAACACAGCATCTTGACATTGAGCAGAGAGCCGTCCTTTCTCCCCGGCTCTTTGAGAGCTCCTTGTCCTGGAGTTTTATCTGAGGCTTTGATTTGAAGCCTCAATTTTTGGATGTGGCCTTTGTAGGGCTTTCTGAAGTGATGAGTGATCTGGTTTCACTGCATCTTCAAAATGTCCCTGCAGCAACTGCTATTCTTGCTCTGTAGCATTTGGCTTTAAATATGTTTCATATCAACAGGGTTGGCACCTTCTGTTTTTCTCTTCCACTCATCCTTTTGAATGTAAATGTTTAATTTCTTGCAAACTCAGTACACTTTGCATGAAGAAATAGGTGCAACTGGCTTTTGTGAGTCAAAAGCAGACTGGCCTCTCCCAGGGGTAATAGCAAACGGTTCCCCAGGCCCAGCTGGGCCATGCAGTGGCTTCAAGACATCATGTGCTAAGGCTGACCTCCAAAGGATGATTTTTAGAAGATCAAGGGAGATTATATTGTCTTTAAAAAGATGGTTTAAATGAGATGCAGGCTAGTCTAGTTTAGGAGCAAAGACTGTTGGGACAGACCACTTACTGCCTGTGGGAACTTAAACAAGTTACTTAAGCATCAGTTTCATCGTCTGTGAAAAGGATTTATTATATCTACCTTATAAGTTTATTACAAGCATTGAATAAGCTAATGCAGGAAACCCGCTTAGCACAGTACTTGGCACATAGTGATTAGCAGCAATTGTTCTTAGTATAAAGAGCTCCTGTTACTTTCCCCCTTTATCTAGACATTCTTTGCTTTAATTTGTTTTCCAGCTGGCTTCAGCAGCATTTTTCTTTTTGAGGCATCTGAAGGTCAAGTTTCAGAAAAGGAAAGCAACTAAATGTGTTTAAATGTGTGGATGGAAATCTGATCAAAGGCAATCTTTTTTTTAAATAGACTTTGCCAAGTATTCAGGTGATGTTCTACACTAGTATTGACTATGTTAGGACACTAGGGTTACTGGAAATAAACTCAGCCAAGTATTGATTAGTAATATAAATGTCAAGGAATTAAACTTGCAATGAAGCAGGCAATGCAAACAGCCTTGTTTGGCTGTAAAAATGCCGACATTCCTGAAACGATGAGCTCATCATTAAATTCTTCATCTTCCACACCCATAAGAGAATTCATGGCTTGTTTGCTCATTTTTGCTTCGGTTTTCTAGGCAGCTAAGAAGGAAATAAAGCAGTGGTTCTTAAACTTTATTGTGCACCAGAATCACCGGGAACGTTTGTTAAGTCGCAGATTCTGCATCCTAGCCCTGCAGTTGTTGGTTCAGGAACGCTGGGGTTGGGCCTGAGAATTTGCATTTCTGTCACATTCCCAGGTGATGCTGCTGCTGCTGCTTCAGGAACCACACTTTGAGAACCACTAAGATGAAGTCCCCTGAGGCACTGTGATGTGGTATAGAGCAGGGGGCATTTTAGTCATAAGGCGATGGGTTTGAGTCCTGGGGCTGTCCTTATTAGCAGAACTCTTTTAAGCAAATAATCTCCGTGAGACTGGGTTTCTTCCATTTTCAATTAGAAATAATAAAATTCACCTAATGAAGGCCCTTGTAAGAGTTAAAATGTTTGTAAAGCACTTTGTTCATGTATTAGTTTTAAAAGATTTCATTAATCTTTTATTGTGAGATTCTTTTGTAAGTCATGTAATATTTCGGAGTGATTTGGGCAACCAAGTCTATCAAATGAATAATGCCATTCGTTTAAATAATGGAAGCAGTTTTAAATGTTTCACTAAAATTCCACTTCAGAATTGCCATGCCCTTTTTTAAGCTGGGATGTGTGTATGTGTACTTTCTTCCCCCTTGTAATTAAACAAGTTGTTCTCCCCCATTTAATTCTTACTAATTGGGAATTTCCTCCTTCTCTAATTCTGTGCATCGGCATTTTAGCATATTTTGATGTGTAGGTGGTAGAGGACAGTGAAAAGTTCACAGCTGGAGTGCAAATGCTGAGTTTTCATGATTCATGAACAACTGGGATCTGACCACAAGTTTGTCTTTTTATATTTAGAATCAGCCATGTCAAGATCTGCATGGCACAGAATCATCTGGGAGCTTCTTAAACATGTAGAATTTAGCACCCCATCTCTAAAAAATATGATTCAGTATATAGAAGGTGGGTCCTGGTTATATACACTTAAAGTATCATCCCAGATAGTACAGAGGCTGCATTTCATGAAACCCCAGGAATGGTCTGGAATAGTCTAGTTTGTTTTTAAATTCTAACCTCTGCCTGCAATTAGCTGTGTAGACTTGATCAAATTCTCTGGTCTTCTTAAATCTGTTTATGTGCAATTGCTCACTCTCATTTATTGAAGCTGTTATGCAGATTATAATTAACATGTATAAAGTGCCTAGCATGTAAAGTGTGCTGGGCCTGAAGCACTCAAACACTCTAACGTTGGGGTAGTTCTTTTACAATGCCAGATGCTGGAAGGTGAACAGATAAGATCAACACAAAAGTTCCTAGGTGGATAGAAGTGAAATGAAGCCAGCTGGCTCTGTGAATCCATAAAATATTTATCAAGCCTTGGAGAAAGAGAATTCATCAAAGATTATATTAAAGTGACTAATTTCTTTTTCTTTCTTTCTTTCTTTCTTTCTTTCTTTCTTTCTTTCTTTCTTTCTTTCTTTCTTTCTCTTTCTTTCTTTCTTTCTCTCTTTCTCTCTTTCTCTCTTTCTCTCTCTCTTTCTCTCTTTCTCTCTCTCTCTTTCTTTCTTTCTTTCTTTCTTTCTTTCTTTCTTTCTTTCTTTCTTTCAGACAGAGCCTCACTCTGTCACCTAGACTACAGTGCAGTGACACAATTACAGCTCACTGTAGCCTTGACCTTCTGGGCTCAAGTGGTCCTCTCACCTCAGCCTCCTGAGTAGCTGGGACCACACTTGCACACCACCACACCTGGTAATTTTTTAATATTTTGTAGAGACTGGGTCTTACTGTTTTGCCCAGGCTGGCCCTGAACTCTTGGGCTCAAGTGATCCTGTCCTTGGCCCCCAAGAGTCCTGGGAGTACAGGAGTGAGCCACCATGCCCAGACTAAAGTGATTGGTTTCTTACCGGTATCTTCATGTCAGGAACACTCACAACTAGTTTCTAACTTGTAATTATTTTCTAGGTTCTAAAGTTCTTATTTTGGATGCTATAAGATTAAACAGTGTTTGCGTGTATTGAAATAAATTATTCAATCTAATCTTAGGAATCAGCAGACTATCATTTTTTACTGTGCCAGAACACTAATTTTCCATTCACTTTAATGTGACAGATAATGTCCTTTCATGAAAACATTAAACACTTCAAGAGAGCCAAAATGAAGCCGTATTAATACAAGACAACAGAGCCAATACTATTCAGTAACAAGATAGAAAAATGCTGTTTAAAAAGGAAATATTATTACTGTAAAGACAGATTTTTATTCAAGAAGTTAAGAACTACCATATAAATCTTCATTTACTTTTATTTTTCTCAACATCTTTGTGACTGTTCTTCTTTAGTCTCGTAAGCAATTTTAAAATATTTTTTCTGTATTATGGTCTTTCCCAGCTTACTGACATGCTTCTAATTTACATGCTTAAAATTAGTAGCGTGGCATTTTTTACTTCCATGCAATTCCTCAAGATCTATGATGCCAGTAGAGCTTTTAGAAGGTCTTCTAATTGCACATTCATTAAACAAAGCTCAAGAACAGACAGTCCTAAGGGGGTTTTCATTTATGGATCATTTAGTCTGGAGTTCCCCAAGGACAATGGTCAACATTAATTAAAACATCTTGAAGTTTGTAAACCACAGTTACTTCTGTGTGAGATGCCATGATGAGCTTTGAATTATCACTTGAAAAACAAGAAGATTTAGGAAATTTCAGCTTTCTTGTTGCTCTTCTACAAATGCTACTTTGAAACAAATTTTCTTCAGTGTCACCAAGATTAACACAACTTACTGCTGTACAGAACCTGTGTTTTATATTTGTAATTTGTTACACAAGAGAAAAAGAGGACTCCTGAGATATGGGGTAGATATCATATTCCCTATGTCTGGGGGGTAGACAGTCACTGGAACTGGAACTGCCAGATGGGTTCTTCCTGCTCACTGCACAGCCACAATCGGTCCACTGAGACCATGGTATTGCAGTAAAGAAAGAGTGTAATTGATGCCAGGCTGGCCACACCATGTGGGAGACGGAGTTATTACTCAAATCAATCTCCCTGAAGGCTCAGAAGTTAGGGGTTTTTCAAGGATAAAATGGCGGGCAGGGGCCTAGGGAAGGGGGCATGTTGATTGGTTGGGGATGCAATCATAGGGGTATAGAAAGCAGTCCTTGTAGGCTGAGTCTGCTTCTAAGTGGGGGCCACCAGAGGAGTTGCTGGTCTGAGTGGGACTGTCTAGTAGTCAGAAATGCAAAAGCCTAAAGAGACATCTCAAAAGGCCAATTGTAGGTTCTGTAATAGTGATGTTATCTGCAGGAGTAATTGGGGAGGCTGCAAATATTGTGACCTCCAGAATAATGGCTGGTAATTATGTAACTATGCCTACATCTTAGTAAAATTCAGGCCCCTCTCATCTACCTAACTTGGTAGACTTTCATTAATTTTACAAGGGTAGTTTAGCTTTGGGGGAAGAGCTAGTATCATTTAAACTATAAATTCCTCCTGAAGTTAGTTTGGCCCACACCCAGGAATGAGCAAAGACAGCCAGCCTGTGAGGCTAAAAGCAAGATGGAGTCAACCATGTCAGATTTCTCTTACTGTCATGATTTTGCAAAGGCAGTTTCAGAGCCACTCCCGAAGTGGTAGGAAGGTGTGCAAATTATGGGTTTGTCATATGCCTCTCATATGCATGAAGGAATATGCATATGTAATACAAGAAAGATGTCATTTTGAACCAATGTGACTTTCAAATATTTCCTGCTAGGTTGGACACCGAGGAACAATAAGAGATTATCCAGACTTCAGCCCATCAGTGGATGCTGAAGCTATTCGGAAAGCAATCAGAGGAATTGGTGAGTGATATTTTACAATTCCTTTCTTAATGTTGAAGCAAATCAGGCAGGTTACAATCTAAAAGTTCAGTTTGCTCAGCTTGGCTTACTCAATTTGATAAATTGTCAGGAATTTTCTAAAATTGTGAAATAATGAGAAAATATATAGAGAACTCAGCTTTATTAAATCCTAACATTTACCATATTTACTTAATATTAAAAAACTACCACTGATATTGGTGGTCTAGGGGAGATCCCCAGATGCCGGTGGGATCTCGACCCTGGCTGGTATCCAGACTCCTGACACCATCTAGAGAAGAAATTCAAGGATGGGTCAAACGATAGTGAGAGTACACAGATTTGTTGCAAAGTGAAAAGTACACACTCAGGAAAGGGGAGTGTGAGTGTACTCAAGAGAGAGTGATGCACAAGGGGGTTTGGGGTTGTTGCCTTTATGGGTTTCTTTAACCAAGGGGTGGAATAGTCATGAAGATTCCGGGAAAAAGATGATTTCTTGGTACTGTGGTGCCACCCCTTTTTACAACAAATATCAGTGTTTCCAGAACTGCCATGGCACTGGTGGGTGTGTGATTGAGTATGTTAATTAGCATATAATGAGATCCTAGGAGAATCCTAGGTCAAATCCAGCGCCACGTTGGGTCCAGCGGGTCTTAGCCAGCTTGATCCAGACTATGGGTTTTCAGGGTCATATCAGCCCCTAGTTTCTGCAGCTATTTCATCAGTTTCCTTTTGCTAGTCATGCGAAACTGCTGCCTGGAATTTTCTGTTCTCCTGTGGCCACCCTGTGTTAGTCCTGTCTAACCACCACCACCACTGCTACCAACAACAATAATAATTATCATAATAAATCTTTACAAATATGGTCCCCTTGGTTGGGCATGGTGGCTCATGCCTGTAATCCCAACACTTTGGGAGGGCGAGGCAGGAGGATCACTAGAGCCCAGGAGTTCAACACCAGCCTGGCAATATAGGGAGGGCCCTTCTCTACAAAAACCTCAAAAAATTAGCTGGGCGAGGGGCTTGGGCTTGTGATCCCAGCTACTTGGGAGGCTGAGGTAGGGGGATACTTTGAGCCAGAGAGGTTGAGGCTGCCCTGAGCTGTGATTGTGCCACTGATCTCCAGCCTGGATGACAAAGTAAGAGTCTATTTCAAAAACAAAATAAGAAAACAAAAAAAACCCAATACAATCCCATTAGTTCTTCCTGTATTACACTCTTGCCCCTTTCACTAGAGATAAACACTATCCCAAATTAGAGTTCATTCCCATGAAACTTTTAATACCATCACTATATATACATGTACATATTGTTTTGTATGGTCTCAAACAGCATAAAATGAAATCATACTGTATACATTCTTCTGCAATATGTTTTTATCCCTTAACATTATATTTTTGAGATTTATCCATGTTGATATGGTTAGCTCTAGTGCATTAATTTTAACTGCATGGTATCTATTGCATCACTATATCAGAAGATGGGAATATTGATGGAACATTTAAATTGCCTGCAATTCTTTTATATTGCAATATAAAAATGCTGCAGTGAATATTCCTCTTATGTCTCATTGTACATATTTGCTAGCATTTCTCTAGAATATGACAAGAACTGGAATTTCCACATTGACGGGGATACTTCTCTTCAAATTAACTGGAAATTTTGCCATACTATTCTCTGAAATGAATGTAGAAATTAGCATTCCTTTCAGCAGTGTACAAGACTTCCTTTTGCTCCATGTTCTCACCAATACTTGCTACAGTAAGACTATTCCATTTTTCTAATTAAGTAGGTCTAAATGGTATCTTATTCTGCATGTGTGTTTGTTTTCTCTCTCTACCCTGATGACTGATGCAGTTAAGCATCCTCACTTGTGCATCTGCTTCCACCTTCATACATCAATAAAATATAAAATATATTTTATCTGTTTTTTTCAGTTGGTTTGTCTTCTTTAGATTGGCAAGAATTTTTTATAATTCCTCAATACAAACTTTTTAAAAAATATTACAAACCATGAAAATATTTCTTATAAGTTTATGGTTTTCTTTTAACATTGGTGACATGGTTTGGTCCTGTGTCCCCACCCAAATCTCATCTTGTAGCTCCCATAATTCCCACGTATTGTGGGAGGGACCTGGTGGGAGATGATTGAATCATGAGGACAGGTCTTTCCCGTACTGTTCGCATGATAGTGAATAAGTGTCACAAGATCTGATGGCTTTATAAGGTGGAGTTTCTCTGCACAAGCTCTCTCCTTGCCTGCTTCCATCCGCATAAGATGTGACTTGCTCCTCCTTCCCTTCCACCATGATTGTGAGGCTTCCCCAGCCACATGGAACTGTGAGTTCTCCATTAAACCTCTTTCCTGCATAAATTGCCCAGTCTAGGGTATGTCTTTATCAGCAACGTGAAAATGGATAAATACAATTGGTTACAGTAATTTTTATTGCATAGAAGTTTTAAATTTTAGTGAAATCAAGTTTACCAATATTTTTGTCTAGGATTTATTCTTATTGAATCTTTTCTATAGTGAAGTCATAAAGATATTCTCCTACTTTTTTTTCAAACTTTTGAAATTTTATTTTTCATATTATGATCTTTAATCTACATGAAATTAATGTTCATGGATGGTATTTAAAGGTGTCTCATTTTGTTCTGTTTCATGTGGACATTTAATTGTCCCAGAACAATATATTGAAGAGCTCATCTTTTTCACACTGATTTGTATGTAATGTCACCTCTGTTTTATGTTTCCCTATTTTTCTCTTCTCTGTTATGCTTCATTTATCTATTTGCCTCTCCCACTGTCACGATTATTAGGGGTTTAAAATGACACTAAATATCTGCTGGGCAACGTTTTTCTTGGCTCTTTGCCCTCCTCTATGAATTTTAAAAGTGGCTTGTCAAATTTCATAAATATACTATATTAGAACTTTATATCAATATAATATTATGTTATTTCTGCCTGTTTAAGGGTTTTTTTTTTCCATTTTTCAGTGTAAGTTATTTCTTCATTTATCTCTTGATTGCCTTTTTTTTTTTTTTTTTTAAAGGGAGAAGGGCTTGCTCTGTCACCTAGGCTCAAGTGCAGTGATATGATCATAGCCCACTACAGCCTCAAACTCCTGGGCTCAAGGGATCCTATGGCCTCAGCCTCTGGTGTTGCTAGGACTACAGGTGCTCATCACAATGTGTGCCTAATTTTTTAATTTTTTGTAGTGACAGGGTCTTGCTATGTTGCCCAGGCTAGTCTTGGACTCCTGGGTTCAAGCAATCCTTCTGCCTTGTCCTCCCGAAGTCCTGGGATTATAGATGTGAGCCACTGCACCCAGCCGGATTGCCCTATTTATATCTAGTGTTGAGTAGACTGTTTCATGAGGTTAATAGTCTTTAAATTCTGTCGCCTCTCTTTAAACATTATGTTTCTTCATGAATTTGCACTTTGGTGTACAGGCCTTCTTTGAGAAGGAGGTTATTGTTTATGAGCACCACTTCTGATACGTTCTGAGTTCAGAATCAGGTATCATAATGGCATTTGCATTAGGGCTAGGTCAGACCCAGTCTCTGAACTGGAGGCATCTTGGGTTAGTTTTTGATCTTGAGCATGTTTAAAAATAAGAGATGAGAAACTGCCAGGCATACAAACTACAAATAACTGCAGGTAGTTTGGTATATTTGTAGTCCAGTTGCATAGGTTATAGAGATGCAGAGAGGGGGTAGAAAATGAGAACAAAGACATAAGGCAGGAGAGATCATAATGAGCTGATATACGAGCTAAGGGGCTTAAACTTCATCCTGAAGATTACAAAGAGCCATTTGAATTTTAGCCAAGGGGATAACATGATCAGATTGTATTTTTAAACATTTACTTAGGCAGTAGTGTACAGGAATAATCATATGGGGGTCACATTAGGAGGCGATTTAGGTTATCCAGGTAAAATATGATAAGGACACAGTGGCAGAGGGCATGCAGAGGAGACGACAAATGTAAGAGATGCAGATAATTGCTATAATATAGAGAATAAGATAAAGAAAGGAATCTGAGCTGATTCCCAGGATTTTTGCCTGGATGTCTATATCCATAGTTGTGCATGAGGGAACATAGAAAGACAGACAAGTCAGAGAGGAAATACAATAAAGTCCACCCAGAACACGCTGAGTTTCAGATACTTGTGCAGTTGAGGTGGCTGGTAGTGTACTGACACGGATGCTGGGTACGGTACACACATGACGGGTCCACATTGGTACTCAGACCCACAGAGCACAAACACACTTTAATCTGATTCAGTATTTACCTCACTATGTATAAGAATATAAAACCAAAGACACAGAAAGGCAGCATCTTTCACTGGGAGGCCCAGCAGCTAACCAAGTACACAGAAGCTTTTGCGTCATCATTGATGTAAGTTATGTACCACTGCCTTGGAAGTGTGTAGATGAGGTCTGTGAGGGTCACCTTGACACAAAGAAGTTGAGCGTTGAGTTGCGGGTGCTCTTTTATACCTCTCTAGTCATGCGTGCTCTAGGCCTGCAAGCCAATTCACAGCTCCCCAAACCAGGTATCATCGTGGGCTGGGAAATTAATAAGACACAACTTTCCACGTTTATCTTACTACTGTAGTCACCAAAGTAAGAGTGATTTTGAGGTCATTCTCAGGCAGGCCAGGATCAGCTCTGGCCTGATGTTACCTTTCACTTACAAACAATTCATTTTGTATATGGGTTTGAAATTCATGAGAGAGGCCAGGCGCGGTGGCTTACCCCTGAAATCCCAGCACTTTCTGAGGCTGAGGCGGGTGGATCATCTGAGGTCAGGAGTTCAAGACCAGGCTGATCAACGTGGTGAAACCCCATCTCTACTGAATAAAAAAAAAATTAGCTAGGCATGATTGCACATGCCTGTAATCCCAGCTACTTGGGAGGCTGAGGCAGGAGAATCGCTTGAACCCGGGAGGTGATGGTTGCAGTGAGCCGAGATGGTGCCGTTGCATTGCAGCCTGGGCAATGAGAGAGAGAGGGTGGTGGGGAGAGAGAGAGATGGCAAAAGGGAGGAAGGGAGAAAGGGAGGAAGGAAGGAAGGGAGGAAAGAGGGGGGAGGGAGGGAAGGAGGGAGGGAGGAAGGAGGAAGGAAAGAAGGAAGAAAGGGAGGGAGGGAGGGAGGGAGGGATGGAGGGATGTGGAAGAAATGCATGAGAGAGATGTGGACCAGAGATAGAAATATATGTTTTGTGGTCAGAGATTTGGGTTCAACTTCTTGCTGGACCACTCAGAAGTTGTATGACTTTGGCAAGGAAGATAAGTTCATGTCTTCATCTTTAGTACAGCGGGCCCCTGTGAATATTAACTATGGCAATGAATAAAAGGGCGTTTCATGCAGGGCAGATTCTCATTAAGGGTTAGTTCCTGTTTTCCAGGGAAGAAATATTTTGATATCAACTATGGGAGAGAAATAAAAGGCAATAAGACAGTAACCAAACCTCATAAAGGTAAAAACGTCAAGTTCAAAAGTAGTACGTTCTTTTGTCTGATGTACAGAAAGGAGTATTTAGACAATGATTGTTTCCTTCCCCCAAAACTATCCAAATAAAGATAACTTTCTTTTCCAAAACTCAGGCAAACAAAACAAATAAATAAATAATGATCCCAACCAGGTAAGAAGCTGGGAATTAAAATGCCTTACTCTCTGCATTTGTCTCAGGCTATTGATCATTTTGCTTTAGGTCAAGACAGATATTGAACATCAATATTGAGTAAAATAACTTTTGTTTCCTTTAGGCACCGATGAGAAAATGCTCATCAGCATTCTGACTGAGAGGTCAAATGCACAGCGGCAGCTGATTGTTAAGGAATATCAGGCAGCATATGGAAAGGTAAGGCCATGTTCACATGACAGGCAGTAAAGAGATCGTTAATGTACCATGGTCGCTCCCACATGGTTATGCCTACAGTTTTCTGTTTCAGGCTGAGTGTAACAGAAGATGCCCTGTGCATCCAGTCAGGAGCCTGGAATCTGAGTTGCGGTTTTGCCTTGAACTGGCTGACTGACTTTGGGCATGTTACTTGGTCTTTTTGGGCCTCAGTTTCTTCACTTGTAGGATATGGTTTGCCTTAGCCCAGTGGGTTCTAAACCAGAAGTGATTTTGCTCCCCAGGGGACATTTGGGATGAATGGAGACGTTCTGATGATCACAAACAGGATGGTGGGGGGTACTTCTAGCATGTAGTAGGCATAGGTCAGGGATGCTACAAGCATCCGAGAATGCTCAAGGCAGCCCTCCACAACAAAGAATTACCAGGCCAACTATCTGACTAATTCTGTCTTAGATAACCTTTTATTTCTCTTTCAATTTTAAAATACTTATGTAGTTATAGGTTTAATTCATTCAGCAAATGAAAATTTGGCAATTAGCAGAAACTAACTGTATAAGAACAAGTAACTTTGGGAGGCCCAGGCAGGTGGATCACCTGAGATCAGGAGTTTGAGACCGGCCTGACCAACATGGTAAAACCCCATTTCTACTAAAAATGCAGAAATTAGCCTGGTGTGAGGGCACATGCCTGTAATCCCAGCTACTCGGGAGGCTGAGGGCTGAGGCAGGAGAATCGCTTGAACCCGGGAGACGGAGGCTTCAGCGAGCCGAGATTGATCCAGCCCGGCAACAGAGCAAGATTCTGTCTCAAAAAAAAAAAAAAAAAAAGCAAAAAGTAAGACTTAGTCTTTGCTATACAGTTTCTTTGTCCAACGCCTATTTTCGAGTACTAATCTGTGTTAGGAGATATCCTAGACATTGGATATAGACTGGTATAGAAAGCAGATCCTGCCTTCTTTCATGGAGCTAACATTCTATTAGAATATAATAAACAAGTAAATAAAAATAATTCAGATATGATAAGTGATATGAAAGAATTAAAATGGTTTATATGATAGACAGTGACTGGTGAGTGGCTCCTGCAGATAGGGTGATGAAAGAATGTCGGTGAGGGGTTTTTACCTTACTCCCCACTAAGCCTAAACAATACTAGGGATTCTGCTCTGCTTGATCAGGAGATAGTATTTAAGGTACAGCAAATACAAAAGCCCTGATGCAAAAAGAAGCAGGGAATATGTGAGAAATAAAGAATTCCAATATGGCAGGAACGTAGAAAGTGAAGGGGGCAGAAGAAAGAGATGAGGCTGGAGAGAGGTTGAGAACATGCTAAGGGTCTTGGTAGAGTTTAGATTTCATTCTAAGGGCTACAGGGAACCACTGGAGGTTTGTAAGCAGAGGAATAATATAATGCAGTTTTTATTTTTAAAGGATTATTTTGGCTGCTGTAGATAATGAATTGTGGAGGGAAAAGGTACAAATGGAGACTGTTGAGAGGGTCTGGTGACCATCCACAGGCAGCTCAGGAATTACCTCCTGGAAGTGTTCTCCAGGCCCCCGGGCTCCATTAAGACACCCGTCTCTGAGCTCCCTTTATCAGATACTTAACATATAATATGGAAATTTTATCTTTGAATATTTCTGTGTTTCCCATGAGGGCAGAATGTCTTAGGATAAGGACTTTGTCTAACTTACCTTTAAAGGCCTAGCACAGAGCAGGTGCCCAGAAAACGTTTGTTGAATTGAATGAATTGCCTGGCTTCTGGGCAAGACAACACTTTCACATAAAGAGAAGGTGAGTGATCTATTGGCCTTTCAGTATTTCCAAAATATGGAAGAAAGATGGGGGTGGAGGGGAACAACCATTTCTCACAGTGGAATAGGATGAGATCTGTGAAGTAAGATTCGGCTGCCATGGCTTGGATTGAGGACAGATGGTAGTGAAATTTACCATTTAGAGAGGAAAAAAACCCTGTGGCAATTAAAGCAGAGCTGGGAACACTGAACGCCATCCCATTTGTTTCAGCAGGAACGTGCTGCTGCTGCATCCCCCAGGAGTGTGGTAGTGTCGGTCTGTGCCCACGGCGTTGCAGCAGGCTCAGAGGCTACCAGCCTCTATTTCAGAGCTGAAAATTATCAGGAGCAGGAACAAACATTATTCAGTATTATGCCATTGAATATTGAAAGTAGAAACCCTGTTACCCCCCTTTAGGCAGGGGAGATGGACTGTACTTACGTGTGAAAACAGTACTCAAAACAATATCAATAGGTAATGTCTGTAAGAGGCTAAGTTCTAGTGTTCCATAGCCCTGTAGGATGACTCAGTTAACAATAATGTAGTTTCAAATAGCTACAAGGAGGATACTGAATATTCCTAAAACAAAAAAATGTTAAATGTTTGAGATGATGGGTATGCAATTACCCTGATCTGATTACCATACATTATATGTATTGAAACATCACTATGTACTTTATGAATAAGTACAATTATTATTTGTCAAAAAAAAATAAGTCTAACATATTGCCATACTTAGGGTTTTTTTTTTCTTTACTTGTTGCCAGAAAATTGCTTCGGATGCCACCTAGTTCCGCGTTCTCACCAGAGACACATGGCCAGCCACTGTCCTCCTTTCCCCTTCCTCTTGGAGCTCTTTGGGAGTTACTGAGAGGCAGGACACCCAGGAATAGAGCACCTCCCAGTGAAGCTGCGTGTGAATTTATAAGGGTTCCTCTTCCTCTTCCCTCACCCCAACCTAAGCATTGAAAGCACGGGGGACCTAGGAAATGCATTTGAATACAGTTCCTAACTGTGGCACTCATGAAGTCCTCCCATTTGGCTCTCCTTCAAAAAACCTCTACAAAACAGAACAATTTGGGAGTAATTAGAAAATGCAGATTAATATTCATAGAAATGTTTTCAACACTTCTGTTTATTCCCTGTGGATGGACGTGTTTTGCCTGATTTTGATACATATGTTCATCTTTCACTAGGTGACTTTAGAGGAAGAGAGAGGAAAAGTATTTCACATTTTTCTCCTTGGTTTTTTGATTTTAGGAGCTGAAAGATGACTTGAAGGGTGATCTCTCTGGCCATTTTGAACATCTCATGGTGGCCCTAGTGACTCCACCAGCAGTCTTTGATGCAAAGCAGCTAAAGAAATCCATGAAGGTATGAGCCCCCCACAAGCCATTTCTGCCCAGGGTTTGACCGAGTCATCAAAAATAGTGACTTTCTGGCAGTGCACACTTGTGATGGGTGGACTTGGATGTCATTTTGGTCTGTACTCTCCCAGTGGTAGAATGACTCTGAAATAGGGAACAGTTGTAGAACCTTAAGCCCAAATGTTCCTGGGCTGGAAGAATTTTGTCATATCCTTTGTTTGACATGAAGAGTCAAGTTCTCTAGTTTGTCATCATTGAAAGTAAATGGCACTGTCATAAACCCCAACACTGAAGCTAAAAACCTAGCATTATCCTTGAGCCCTTGTTTTCTCTTACCCTTCCACACTCCCAAATCTATCAGCAAGTTCATTAGTTTTACTTCAAAATCCACTGTAAATGTGTGCACTTCTCTCAAAATCCATTGCTACTGTTCTAGCCTGACCACCATCATCTCTTGACTGGTCCGTATCAATAGGCTTCTAACTAGTCCCTTTGCCTCCATTTTTGCCCACCTCAAATTCATTCTACACAGAATAGCCAAAATTATTTTTATTAATTTATTTTAAAAATCAGATTATGTTATTTACCTGCATAAATTTCCAATGGCTTTGAACACTTAAAATCCAAGCTGCTTATCATGACCTTCATTACCCAATAGTGCAGGTCCTGTCTAACTCAGTGACTTTTTAAAATTCTATTTATATCAGTGAGGGTTCCCTCAGAGAAGCAGAACCAATAGGCAGGACATAGACGTTAAAAGATTTATTGTAAGGCCAGGTGCTATGACTCGTGCCTGTAATCCCAATACTTTGGGAAGCCAAGGTAGGTAGATTGCTTGAGCTCAAGAGTTTGAGATCAGCCTGGGCAACTTGGAGAAACCCTGTCTCTACAAAAAATAAAAAAAAAATTAGCTGTGCATAGTAGTGCATTCCTGTAGTCCCAGCTACTTGGGAGGCTGTGGTAGGAAGATCACCTGAACCCAGAAGGTCGAGGCTGCAGTGAGCTAAGATTGTGCCACTGCACTTCAGTCTGGGTGACAGTGAGACCCTGTCTCAAAACAACAGCAACAAAAATTTACTGGAAAGAATTGGAGGCCATGGTGGGAGGATTGCTCAAGCTCAGGAGTTCAAAACCAGCCTCAGACTGAGCAACATAGTGAGAACTTGTCTCTACAAAAAATTTTTAAAAATTAGCCAGGCGTGGTGGCTCATGCCTGTAGTCCCAGCTATTTGGGAGGCTGAGGTGGGAGAATTACTCAAGCCCAGGTCTTAAGTGTCCTTTGTAGGGACATGGATGCAGCTGGAAACCATCATTCTCAGCAAACTATCGCAAGAACAGAAAATCAAACACCGCATGTTCTCACTCATAGGTGGGAATTGAACAATGAGATCACTTGGACACAGGAAGGGGATCATCACACATCAGGGCCTGTTGTGGGGAGGGGGGAGGGTGAGGGATAGCATTAGGAGATATACCTAATGTAAATGACGAGTTAATGGGTGCAGCACACCAACATGGCACATGTATACATATGTAACAAACCTGCACGTTGTGCACATGTACCCTAGAACTTAAAGTATAATTAAAAAAAAAAAAAGAAGAAGAAGAAAAAAAAAATTAGCCAGGCAAGGTGGCTCATGCCTGTAGTCCCAGCTGTTTGGGAGGCTGAGGTGGGAGGGTCACTTAAGCCCAGCAGGTCTAGGCTGCAATGAGCCACGACTGTGCCACTGCACTCCAGCATGGGACCCTGTCTCAAAAAAAAAAAAAAAAGGAAGAAGAAGAAGAATTGGTTACATGATTATGGGATTGGTTAGGCAAGTTCAAAATCTGTAGGGCAGGCTGTCAGGAAAGGCAGGCTGGAACTCTTGGGCACAAGCTGAAGCTGTCCACGGAAAGAATCTTCTAAACAGGAACCTCACCTCTGGTCTTAAGCCCTTTCAACTGATTGGATCAGGTCTGCCGAGAAAGGTAATCTCCCTTACTTAAAGTGAATCAATAATAAACTGCTACAAAATACCTTCACGGCAACACATAGATTAGCGTTTGATTGAATAAGTGGCATTATAGCCTGGCCAAGCTGGCGCATAAAACTGACCATCATACCCCCTCCTGCTCACCCATTAATGATGTAGCTACACTGACCTTTTCTCTGCTCCTTGAACATCATAAGCTTATTCTTGTTTTGAGAGATTTATACATGATGTTTCTTCCATCTGGAATGCTTTTCTTCCAGACATTTTCCATTAATTCACTCAAATATATTTTCTTACCTGCACTTATTACTGCCTAAAAGTATCTAGTCTATTTATTTGTTTTTGAGACAAGGTCTCGCTTCATTGCTCAGGCTCTAGTACAGTGGTGCAATTATGGCTCACTGCAGCCTCAACCTCCCAGGCAAGCAATCCTCCAACTTCAGCCTCCTGAGCAGCTGGGACTACAGGCACACACTGCCACACCTGGCTGATTAAAAAAAATTTTTTGTAGAGACAGAGTCTTGCTATGTTGCTCATGCTGGTCTCAAACTCCTGAGTTCAAGCAATTCTCCCGCCTCGGCCTCTCAAAGTACTGGGATTACAGGTGTAAGCCACTGCACCTGGCCTCGTCTGTTTTTAAAATCCATTTGTTTATTACCTTTTTTCATCTCACTAAAAGGCAAACCTCCACCATGGCAGGGAACCTCATTGGTCTTGGCCTATATCTTCTGTTCCTAGAGCAACTTCTGAAATGAAGTGAGTGCTCAACATATTAATTAATAGGAAGGAGGAAAAAGAAGGGAGCCTAGATCTGAGGCATAAGCCATATTCTGCCTTGTCATCAGGCAGTGGAGTTATCTTCTTTTCTGTAGAGGACATATGGGTATCTGAGAAGCAGATGGCAAGATGGAATTTGATGTACAAGAGATTTATTGTGAGAAACGCCTGTGAAGGATAAAGAGGAGAAGAGCAGGGTAGGTGGGGTGAACCTTCAGACTGCAGTGCAGGCCTGACACCTGTGAGAGAGAGGAGAGGAAGTAGGCTGAGATTAGGAAGAGCCTCAGTGCATGGTGAAGCTCCAAGAAAGCCTTGGCAGGCTGTTGGGGAGCCCCTGAGCAAAGACTGCCCTTTGGAGGAGTTCTGTGTTGGGCGCAAGTCCGGTACCCCTGCTGTTTACAGTCATTGACTGACAGCCACCTGGAGAGGGCATGACCTCAGTGTGAACTCTGGTAGATCTAAAGGTGTGGCAGTTGGAGGCTGTTAGCCAACTGCATTCTTTGCAGCTGATTCTCTTGAAGTGAAGTCTGAGCATTGTTTTTCTATGGCTACCCAATGGGGAGGGTTTAGCAGGTATAATTGTAAGGATTAGATTCACCAATAAGTATTAGAACAGTTTCTCTTTTAAATAAAAGAAATCCAGAGTAAGTAGCCCTGAGCAGGCTGTGATGGCACCACCATTATCAGAGATTCAGGCTCCTACTATCTTGAGGGTCTGCCATCTTTAACCCATGGTTTTCACTTCCTGGTTAAAGATGGCAGCTCATGACTCAGTCGTTATGTCTTCATTCCAGTCAACTCAAAAGAGTAAAGGACAAAGAAGGGTTCACTCCCTCACTCTAAGGATACTCCCTGAGCATGCATATGGTACTTCTGCCTATATCCCATCGGTCAGAGTTTAGTTATGTGGACATATTTCACTGTAAAGGAAGCTGAGAAACATAGCCTTTATTTGGGTAGCTATGTACCAAGTTACAAGCTGGGGGTTCTATTACCAAGCAAGAAAGACAAAAGAGGTACTGTGGGAAACTAGGAATCTCTGCTACAGAGAGACAGAATTCAGTCTCTGTTCATATGCTGCACTGGCCTTATTCGATCAAGTCTTAGTGTACATGACTTTTCTTGGAGTCACAGTGTGATTCAGTGACCTTGATATAAACAGGGCTGACGGGTAATTAGTCCCCATGCCAGCCGGGCCCATGATGTACATTACTGAGAATTTGAAAAGCTCCCTGTATGAAGAGGATGATACGTGCTGATAGACCCAGTACAGTGATGCAAGGATGAACTCATTCAAAAGTATTGTAGAGCCTTTTCTAAACATAGTGGCATGTTTGAGTGTTGCTAGGGTTAATCCTGTTAGACTCTCACTTCTGATCTTGAATGACACAGGCTTTTTTTTGTACTATATATTTCTAGAATTATTCAATTGATTTTTACACTAGAGTGAAAAATTTGATGTCACTTTATTCCAGATGATTTATGTTAATACTAAAATATATGGAAAAATAGAAAACTACTTTAGAGCAATAGAGAACCTTGTATTGATTTACTCAAAATTGTCATTTCATCTATATAAAACAAGATATTAAGACCAAAAGGCATGAGATTAAGTTATTTAAGTGTTCTAAAAATTAGGTTTCCTTTTCCTTTTTAGGGTGCTGGAACAAATGAAGATGCCTTGACTGAAATCTTAACTACCAGGACAAGCAGGCAAATGAAGGAGATCTCTCAAGCCTATTATACAGGTATCTTATTTTCTGCTTACCTTCACCACTGTTCACACGTATTCGAGCCAATGTTGCTTTTCCCAGAATCCTCCCAATCTCTTCATGAGGCATTTTGAGAGGACAAGACTTATAGAAAGGAGAATACATTCTAAAATCAGCTTAAGACTATGGGTTTCCAGGAAAAATTGGAATATGATCTGAGCTAGATACTGCTACATAACAATAGCATTAATGCTTTACGTTCATAATATTATAGCTGCAGTGGATTTTGCTCTCAGCAATCTCTCATTAATTGAATTAACCATTTTCATCAATGGAAGAGACTCAGATCATATTTTATTATGAGGTGTTAAAAATCACTCAGATTAGATCCACGATTTTTGGTGTGGGAAATTAGATTAATTTAGAGGATGTGTTGAGCATGAGGATTCAATAGAATTAGTTAAGAGACCTAATAGTCTGCTGGCTGTGTAAAATTAGAAAGTCTCTGCAATGCAATTCTGACTCTAACTACCCAGGGTTAGTGTGACCTCACAGGTTAAGGTCACAGTCCCCACAAGACTACCTTCACCTCAGACACCAGCCCACAAGCTCAGGTGTTTTCAGACTACACATGCTTTTAACTGACTGGCTACAAATTCAGGGTTCTCACTACTCTCAGGTTCAATAGCACACCAGAATGACACAGAACTCAAGAAAGTGCTATATTGACAAATGCGGTATTATCATAAAGGAAACAAATCAGGGCCAATCAAATGCAGAGACTGCATAGGGAGATATTGGGAAGGGTCCAGTGGAAGCTTCCACTCTCCTGACACAACCCGCAAGCTCACTTGATTATTGGTAGCCTTAGTTTTTATTGGGGTTTCATTATATAAGCATGATTGGTTGAACCATTGTTCATGTGATTGAACTCAATCTTCAGTCCCCCTACACTCCCCAAACATCAGGCTAATATTGTGGCTCAAAGCCTCAACCTTTTAATCGTATGGTTGATCTTTCTAATGTGACCAGCCTTTATTCTAAGTCATCTTGTTAGCATAACTGAGCTGCAGTCCAAGAGACCAACCATGAGTAATAAAGACACACCTATGACTTGGGAAATCCAAAGGATTTAGAGTTTACCTCCCAGGAATCAGGAATAAGACCAGCCCAATTCTTTACTATTCAGCAGCCCCATAGAACCTTCTCCAAGTACTTTAAGGAAGCCACAGTTTCTCTGTTTGTGTCTCACGGAGGTCAGTTGTGTCATAGGAGCTTTTGCAGTGGGAGAGGTCCAAAGAAGGAGTACATATTGGTCCTCAGGTGGGTGTTAAAGAGGTTGCTTTGGGAAATTCTTGTTAGAAGGTAAATACTTCAATGACAGGTAACTATTTTGTTATTGATGTGCTAATTGGGTTCTAATCAGAAAAACAGAAACAGCACTAGGTATTTTGACAGATAAAATGTAATATAAAGAATTGCTGGCCGGGCGCGGTGGCTCAAACCTGTAATTCTAGCACTTCGGGAGGCCAAGGCAGGCGGATCACAAGGTCAGGAGATCGAGACCATCCTGGCTAACACGTTGAAACCCCGTCTCTACTAAAAATACAAAAAGAAATTAGCCGGGCATGGTGGCGGGCGCCTACAGTCCCAGCTACTCCAGAGGCTGAGGCAGGAGAATGGTGTGAACCCTGGAAGCGGAGGTTGCAGTAAGCCGAGATTGCACCACTGCACTCCAGCCTGGACGACAGAGCAAGACTCTGTCTCAAAAATAAAAAAATAATAAAAAAAAGAATTGCTTAAAGGGTCTGGCGCGGTGGCTCATGCCTGTAATCCCAGCACTTTAAGAGGCTGATCACAAGGCCGGCGGATCACAAGGTCAGGAGTTTGAGACCAGTCTGGCCAATATGGTGAAATCCTGTCTCTACTAAAACATACAAAAAAAATTAAACGGGCGTGGTGGCACGCACCTGTAGTCCCAGCTACTCAGGGGGCTGAGGCAGGAGAATTGCTTGAACCCAGGAGACAGTGGTTACAGTGAGGCGAGATCGCACCACTGCACTACAGCCTGGGCAACAGAGTGAGATTCCGTCTCAAAAGAATTACTTAAGCTGAGCACAGTGGCTCACGCCTATAATCCTAGCATTTTGGGAGACTGAGGTGGGCAGATCGCATGAGCCAAGGAGTTTAAGACCAGCCCAGGCAACATGACAAAACCCTGTCTCTACAAAAAATACCAAAAATTAGCCGGGTGTGGTGGTGCACGCCTACAGTCCCAGCTCCTCAGGAGGCTGAAATGGGAGGATCACTTGAGTCTAAGAGATTGAGGCCCCAGTAAGCCTTGATCATGCCACTGCACTCCAGCCTGGGTGACAGACTGAGACACTGTCTTGGAAAAAAAAAAAAAAAAGAATTGCTAAACACCTTTCAGAGAACTAAAAAAGGAAAAGGGGAACAAAGGGATTCATGCAGAGTATAACCCCCCAGACCTGAGACAACAGAGGAAAGAGGTTGAGTTTGTCAGAAACTGGAAGTTAGAAGAGGGATATACCTGGCTGATGTTGGTACCTTAGGGGCTCAGAGCAGAGGCTTAAGGAGCAGGAGTTCAGACCTCTGAATAGAGGGAAAGTGACTTGTTCTAGGAACTAGAGCCATTGCTGCTGTCAAGGTGAACGACCTTCACTGGGTTGACACTGATATGAATAGCCATCAAATATCTTGCACTTCTTTCCACTTCCTGCCTTCCAGTCCCTCTCTACTCCCTACTACTGGTGGAACCTAAAAGGGAGTGGGAACAGAAAGAAGTAGACAAGAGAACTGCTTCATCATTATTGCACAAAGGGTATGTTGTAGGTGTTTAAAATATTTCAGTTCAACAAGGTTTACGTATTTTACAAAACCCATCATCAGAGCCATGCACTGTATCCCAAGTTGGCTTGGTATTTTCTGGTGTTTCATAGAAGAGTTGCTGCTCCCCTAGTGGACCTGCCCTGTGACAGATCCCTGGAGCCCAGCATTTAGGTACAAACACTTCCAGGATGTAAGCTTTATGAGGATGAAGATTTTTGTCTATGTTGTTCACTACTCTATCCTCAGTTCTAAGAACAGTGGGGGAGATAAGTGCAAATATTTATTAAATGAGTGTCCTCAAAATTGAGGTTAAGATCTTAAGAGCCAAGTGAAACTTTTAGCATTCAGGATAGTGTTGTGCAGATATGACAAATGATAATAGCACAAAGTTACCAGAGCCTCAATTTCTATGTGAGTAATGCTCTCTGAGGCTACAAGGGATACAACTGCATCAAGGTTACCTTGGTTACTAGAGATTAATGATACACAAGAAGATCAAGAAGGAAATTGTCTCAATCATGCATAGCCAAGCTTTACAGAGATTCAAGTCACAGCACTACCTGAGGGACCCAGCTATGTTGTCAGTCTCTCGGCCGCAGGCATCCATTGCTTCCCATGCTAATGTTTTCCATGACAGTAACTGTTCCTCTTCCTTTTTGCTTCTCATGTTCTTGACACCAGCAAGTAACATCCCCTCCCTTACCACATGGTGTTTGTCTACCCAAGGCTTATAAATATTTGTGCATAGTTTTTGGTTATTCTTGGCTACTGTTTTCTTCATTATTTCTAGGAGTCTTTCAGTTCTTTATTATTCTGTTGTCTTTGTCTCCTTTTCTGTGTCACTCATTCTCTAAGACAGAAGATACAGTGGGTTCAGGAAGTCACGATCAAGTTGGCCCTCATAAAGGGACCAGACGTCTTGTATAGCTTATCCGGTACAGTGGCACAATAGGGTCTAAATAAATAGAGATCTAAATTCTTAACTTTTTTCAGTATTCTGAAGTCAATGGTGTGTGAGGGAACACTGAAACAGGTATCAGGAACTCAAAGTTCTAGTCCAGACACCTGTATTGTTAAAATACTCTATTTAATTTTACACTCTACTGTGCCTCAAAATGCATAAAGTAGTTGTCAACTTAGATTGAAATAATATTTTAGTCTAATTTCCCACAAAATATTTCATGTAAAGGAAGAGGCTGTGTGAAATGACTTATAGAGTCTCATCTAAATAATTCCAAAATTATAAAATACTTCCCCAAGTTCTAACAAATGGCAGCTTCATTCTTTTACTTGATAGTTTCAAATTTAAAGTTTTTATCTAGCCAGAATGAAGGATAGATGTAACAATATCACAACTATTAGGTCTAATGATGCCTACTAAATATTATTATTTAGAAAAATAACACACATTTTTGGTGGATTTTGCTTATATGAATTGCTTTGAAAAATTACAGATTTCATAAAAAGGAGACTTACTAAAATCATGCTGAAGAAGTTTCCATCTCAGTGCAGTTCTTGCTATTAGATAATCTCATATCACTTTCTATAATTGTCTTTCATTGGTTTAAAAAGATGAGAATTCTCATGGCTATTATGGATAATTTATAGAGTTCTCGAGAATGATAAAGACAGAGTTCAAATAGCCACATGGTGTCACCTACAACCAGGTGTATAGTGGCTCCAAGAGAAGCACCACCCCATGGATGGGGCAGACAGAGATTGAAGACTGATGGGCACCACACATCACAGGACATGCAAAAGGGGCTACATCTAGTCAGTACTGAAATATATGAACACACAATTGGCATTTGTAAAGGGAAATGGTATGTTTTGAGGTAGCTTTCTTACTTTTGGGAGATACTAAAAAATATAGTTTAGTTATATTCCTTGCGATTAGGTTTAGATTCAATAAAACAGAAAAATTACAGTGGCTTACAAAAAGTAGAAGTTTATTTTTATCATATGTAGAAGTCTAGACATTGGCAATTCTAGGACTAGTATGACAGCTACTAAAAGCTTTTAGGAACTCAGGCTTCTTCTTGATTACTTTTATGCCATCCCTAGGAAGTGGTCCTTATCTTCACAGTCCAAGATGGCTGCCCAAGATGCAGATATCAGTTCACATGTAAGGCAGTCAAATGGAGGAAGGACTAAGATGAACATGGCCCCATCCCTTTAAGGAGATTTCCCAGCAAAGTCATATTTGTCTGCCTTCATTTCATTGTGAAGAACTAAGTTATAGGACTGCACTAGCTAAGAGGAAAGCTGGGAATATAGTTTTTAAGCTGTGTGCATTGTATCTTGCTTAAGGTTAGGGTTCTCTTAGTATGGAAGATGGTCAGAATGGAAATTGAAAGGCAAACTAGTAGCTCATCCACCCCAGCTTTTCCACTATGCATCCCTTAGTGCCATTGTCAGATGAAATAAACCATGATTTGCTCCAGAATGACAACTCTTTCTATTCTTTTGCGTTTACCACAACACAGTGCAGTAAGAGTTACAAGAAGAATGTACCATCTCACAACAGAAGATCATGAAGAAATTAAAGGGCAAGATTTGTCTTATCACATACCCATTCTTTGCTAGTGTTGGCATTTAAACTTTTCTGTTTTATAATTGTATTTTTCAGTTTGTCAAGGCTTAATTTCATTCTGATTTGGTTTCAGTATACAAGAAGAGTCTTGGAGATGACATTAGTTCGGAAACATCTGGTGACTTCCGGAAAGCTCTGTTGACTTTGGCAGATGTAAGGTTTTATTTTTTATTTTTTAACTCCCCAGTAATCTGCATGCTCAATAATAATTTTTAGGGAGTTTAAAAATAACCAAACTGAGACAATTAGTTCACAATTTTCCTTATGAGATGGTTTGTTCATTTTACATTTTCATTGCCACCAAACAATGTAATGTTTAACCAAGATCATAAAAGCATACATAATGATGTAACAACAAAGAAAACTTATTTGAGTCAGTAAGTGGAGGTGTTTTGGTCAGGTTTCACAATTTTGACATTAGAAGACATTCTGATACATCATCTGACATATAATATTTATTTCCATTATAAGTGTCTCCATTTTAAAGAACAGGTTTATTTTCTTCTGGACTCCAAAGAATAAATATTTCTTTTGTTAGCTTCTAAATTAAATAGGAAGCATGATACAGAAGAATTGTCTTTAGAGATGAGAATTAAACTAACAAATGAGTATCAGTCTCAGGATTAAAAAAAGAAAGTGATTGCTGCAACTTCAGCCTTGCCACCTTGGAAAAGCTGCCAAACTATTAATCACTATGTGACCTAATGAGGCCACACCTTGCTTTCTCTTTGTAGAAGGCTCATGACTTTTATCATAAAGATGGTAAGGTCAAAGAGGAGATATATTCATAGCTATGTGTAAGAGAGAAAGTGATTTAAACCATATCTCACCAATTTTCTTTCAGCTGATTTACATAGCACCTAAAGTGTGAGAAAATCCCAACAATGGTCTCAGCCTCATGGTTGAAACAGCACCTGTCAAAGTGAGACATTATGCCATTAGAAAGCAATTTATCTAAATTATGGTTTCAATTACTTTAAATGTGAAAACCTTATGAAGGTTGAACCCACAACACCAAATTTATGAAGCATTGCTGCAGACACATGCTCTCAGAGGTATATATTCATAAGTGCACATCTGTTTGTGTATGGACATGAACACACCCACCCACAGGAGGCAGTATAGAGCAGGGCTCTAGCACAGGGTTCTAGAATCAAACAGGGCTGGAATCTCATGCTGCCTACTAGCTTTGTATATTTGGACAAGTTCTTTAAGTCTTAAAGCATTCATTTTCATATCTGTAAAACTAAAATACTAATAATGCCAAGTACTCATAGGGTGTTATGAAGATTAACAGAAACAGAGAGCATGTGAAGTACTTAGTGATCAACACAGGGTGGTGGTGGTTTGTTAGTATTATATTAAGACCAATGATAATCAGCATTTATATCACTGGAGCAGAGTGTACAGTGAAAGAGAACCAGAAGAAAGCAAACAGCAGCAGAGTATCAGCAGCACAGAAAAGAAACCAGGCAAAAATCAGACAGTCATGCAAGGACCTAACGTTTGAAAATACGAACAAATTCATTTTAAACAATTGTAGCTAAATGTTTCATTCGCCTGTAATTTGCCAAATAATTCAGGTAATCCCATGTTTTGTTTCTGTCTCCTGTCTTTCTATAATGTGCTTAAGTATTTGTACATGAACATACACACACCACACACACACACGCACACAAACATCACTTAAACCATAGAACCTTTAATATTACAGTTGGTTTGGGGACTTTTGAGGACTTTTTTTTTTCTCTTTTTTGAGACAGAGCCTCACTCTGTCATCCAGACTGGAGTGCAGTGGCACGATCTCGGCTCACTGCAACCTCTGCCTCCCAGGTTCAAGCAAATCTCCTGCCTCAGCTTCCCTGGTAGCTGGGATTACAGGCGCATGCCACCACACCTGGCTAATTTTTGTATTTTAGTAGAGACAGGGTTTCACCGTGTTGGCCAGGATGTCTCAAACTCCTGACCTCAATCAATCCACCCACTTCAGCCTCCCAAAGTGCTGGGATTACAGGCATGAGCCACTGCGCCTGGCCTTTGAGGGTTTTTTTTTTTTTTTTAAATAAACTTTACTTTTTAGAGCAGCTTCAGATTTATGGAGAAATTGAGCAGAAAGTATAGAGAGCTCCTATATGCCCCTCTTCTACTCTCTCCTTTCCGTTATTATTATTATTATTATTATTATTTTGAGACAGGATCTCACTCTGTTGCCCAGGCTGGAGAACCATGGTGTGATCTCAGCTCACTATAGTCTTGACCTGCTGGGCCCAAGCAGTCCTCCCACTTCAGCCTCCTGAGTAGCTGGGACCACAGGTGCACACCACCACCTTGGCTAATTTTTTTGTTTTGTTTTGTTTTGTTTAGAGAGAGAGAGAGAGAAGGTCTCACTCTTGCATTAGTATATGTATTTGTTACAGTTGATGAATGAATATTGATACATTATTATTAACTGAAGTTTGTAGTTTACGTTAGGGTTCACTCTTTCTGTCATATAGTTCTATGGATTTTAATAAATGTAAAATGTCATATGTCTACCATTACAGTATGATAGAGTAGTTTCACTGTCCTAAAAATCCTCTGTGCTCTGCCGGTTCATACCTTCCTCCCCACTAACTACTGATCTTACTGTCTCTATAGTTTTGCCCTCTCTAGAATGTCCTATAGTTGGAATCATACAGTATGTAGCCATTTCAGGCTGGCTTCTTTCACTTGGCTATATGCCTTTAAGGATCCTCTATGTCTTTTCATGGCTTGATAGTTCATTTCTTTTTAGTACTGAGTAATATTCCATTGTATAGAATATTTATTTCACCTGCTGAAAGGCATCTTGGTTGCTTCCAAGTTTTGGCAATTGTAAATAAAACTTCTGTAAACATTCATGTGGAAGTTTTTGTGTGGACATGTTTTCAATTCCTTTGGTTAAGTACCGAGGGGTGCAATTGCTTGATCATATAGTAAGAGATATTTAGCTTTATAAAAAAAACTGCAGAGCTGTCTTCCAAGGTGTCTGTACCATTTTGCTTTCATATCAGCAGTGAATGAGAGTTCCTGTTGCTCCACATTCTCACCAGTATTTGGTGTTGTCAGTGTTTTGGATTTGAGCCCTTCTAACAGGTTGTGTAGTGGCATCTGATAGTTTTGATTTGTAATTCTCTAATGACATACAATGTCGAGAGTCTTTTCATGTGCCACCTCTGTGTCGTCTTTGGTGAGATGCCTATTGAGATCTTTCAACCATTTTTAAATTGGGTTGTTATTTTCATATTGAGTTTTAAGAGTTCTTTATGCATTTTGGATACAAATTCTTTATCGGATACATGTTACAAATATGTTCTCCCAGTTTGTACCTTGTCTTTTCTTCCACATAAGACCTCTGTGTTGGGTTGGGCACAGTGGCCCACACTTGTATTCCCAGAGATTTGGGAGGCTGAGTTGGGGGGACAGCTTGAGGCCAGGAGTTTGAGACCAACCTGGGCAACATAGCGAGATTCCCATCTCTAAAAAAAATTTTAAAATTAGCTGTGTGTGGTAGTGTGCACCTGTAGTCACATTAGCTACCCAGGAGGCTGAAGCAGGAAGATAGCTTGAGCCTTGGAGTTCGAGGTTACAGTGAGCTACATTTGCAGCACTACACTCTAGCCTGGCTGATAGAGAGCGAGGTCCTGTCTCTAAAAATATATATATATATATGAATATATGTATATATGAATGTATGTATATATGAATATATATGAATGTATGTACATGTGAATGTATATGAATGTATGTATATATGAATATATATGAATGTATGTATATATGAATATATGTATATATGAGTATATGTATGAATGTATGTATAAGATTCATATATATATATGAATTTTCAGAGGAGGGAACTGAGGCCCATAAAATTGTGTGATTTGCTAAAAATTTCACGACTAGTCAATGGCAGAAACAGAACTGGAGCCCAGAGTACCTGATTTTTCTGTGCAACCTGTCCTGCCTTGAAAAAAAACCACTAAGATCCCTTGCTGGTTGAGTTACCGTGTGTTAGAATCTTCTATCTTTAAAGGATGGCCCTTGTTTTCGTCATCCCTGTTTAGGGCAGAAGAGATGAAAGTCTGAAAGTGGATGAGCATCTGGCCAAAAAAGATGCCCAGGTCAGTAACAAAGCGGGAAAATATTTCCTTTACCTATTCTCCTATGTGGCTGCCTTTGCATTTATGTGAAAAAAGGAGAAAAATAGACCAACGGGGGGGCTTTTTTTTTTTTTTTGCCTGTTTGAAAGAGAAGCCTGAGGCTTGAGGATACCAACCCTAACTTTTTGCCTGCCCCAGTGGTAGTTATCATTCTCCTTAGCTCCTGCCAGCCCAATTATTGATTTCCAGTCTGCTGAAAGTGAGAGACTTTGATAATAGATGATTGCACTGACCTCGAAAATACGGCTCCCATTCTTCTCATGTCACCTCTCAAAAAAAGAAAATAATTGTGTCTCTAATAACATTCTCTTGCGAATAGATTCTCTATAAAGCTGGTGAGAACAGATGGGGCACGGATGAAGACAAATTCACTGAGATCCTGTGTTTAAGGAGCTTTCCTCAACTAAAACTAAGTACGAACTCACATTACAATCCTTTGTGTTGTGTGTTGTTTTTACACATGTTTTTGCATTTAGTATACAAAGATCTAGAAAAATGAAGTTTAAAATTGCAGTCTGTTCCAGTTTATTTATTCACATTTCAGGAAACAAAATAAGGAAGCTGTATTGTCACTCAAGGAAGTCCTGACACTACACTTTTGTTTTTCCGTAGAGGCTGAGTAGATTACCTAGTGAGTACCAGGTAATAGATGGGGGAGGGAGGTGGCCGGAAGAAGAAAAGAGGCCACCTCTAGGGTGAGAGTAGAAAGGCTTGTTCCTGTGGGATGGAGAAGCCCAACTGCTTCCACTCCACCTAACAGTTCTGTCTAGTTAGCCACTTCCAGAAAAGCCAGACACTGCAGGTGAGTCTCTGTTGACACATCAATACTGATTAACCTTCAGCTATTTCTGATATGAAGGTAAATGGTAGAATGGATCGACTCTTATCGTCAGACCAGCTATTACATGGAATTGTGGGCACCCACCCTCTTGCTCATGGCACCTCCTAGAGCTGTTCTGGAAGCAACAGCACCTAGAAAACTAAACCTCCATTTATGGTGAACATCTTCTGACTCTGGCTTCCAGGTGCTAGTTTACAGAACAGCCACACAGCAAGACCAAGCTTAAAGTTGACGGAACGATGAGTAAACATAAGGATGTTACTGTGACTTTGAAATTCTGGAATTGTTCTTTCTTAACTTTTGCATTAAAATCACATTTGTTTTATAAAATAATGACAACAGTAAGTGATAGTTGCTTTATTCATGTCTTTGTTTGAAAAACAAAAACCAGATAACCCTAGGTCTCTCTCCAAAATTTCTTTTTTAAAAAATTTATTGGGGGAAAATGTACTTGGCTTACAAAATATGCCTGTACACTTGGTGACATATGTACAGGTTTTGCTTGGGGCAAATACTGATCAAGAAATTCGGATGCCTTCTGGGAGGTGTGAAGTAGGCCATGCCGCCTTAGGAAATGATTTATTCAGTGCAAGGAAGTCTTCAGAGTTGAGATTTCTTTACCAGAGAAAACATATTTGACTAGTGATTATAGTATCGTTTCCCAGGTGCTGCTATAAATAAAATTTAAAATAACCCACCTTACTAGATAAAGTATTTATTATTTAACTATTTAGGCTATTTGAAATGCTTACTGCTTGAGAGAAGGGGAAAGAGAAAGAGAGATCATTGAAGAAAATTATCTAGGGATGTTTGGGGTTTATCGTAGATGATTTCCTTAAAAAGGAACAAAAGAAAAACAAAAACTTTTGTACCCAAATTTTCATGGTTTAAAGAGGGAGGTTTTTAGCTTGCTACTTGATCTTGTGCATATCAAATAAAAAACTAGAATATATTCAAATGTGCTCAACTGGGTTGCTTTAAATAATTTTGTGGTGCTTCCTTTTAGCATTTGATGAATACAGAAATATCAGCCAAAAGGACATTGTGGACAGCATAAAAGGAGAATTATCTGGGCATTTTGAAGACTTACTGTTGGCCATAGGTAAGCCTTCGAGTGCTAGTAAACTAAGTTACTCTGCACTTGTTTTAACTCAGTGACAATGCCTGTTCCTTTTGGGCAAGAATCCTGGCTGATCCATCTTTTTATGTTCCCTACAGCCCCCATCATGGTCCAGGATACACACAGTCCACTCAGCAAATATTGTTAAATGAATGCATGAAGAAGTTATTTTTTTAAGTCTTTTTTCTTTTTCTTTTTTGAAACAGGATCTCACTCTGTCACCCAGGCTGGAGTGCAGTGGTGTGATCTCAGCTCACTGCAGCCTCAACCTCCCAGGCTCAAGCAGTCCTCCCACCTCAGCCTCCCAAGTATCTGAGACTATAGGCATGCACCACCTGGCCCAGCTATTTTTGTATTTTTTGTAGAGATGGGGTTTCACCATGTTGCCCAGGCTGGTCGTGAACTCCTAAGCTCAAGCAATCCACCCACCTCAGCCTCCCAAAGTGTTGGGATTACAAGTGTGAGCCACCACATCCAGCCATCTTTTTAAATCTTACTTTGCTTTTTAAGTTTGTATTTGTCTTATGACCGTGTTTAGCTTGTAGACTTCTTGAGAGCTGAAATATTTTTTTTCTACTGTCATTTTTATTGAGCTTTGTTGAAAACTGAGACATAGGCAAGGCACCGTGGCATGCACCTGTGGTCTTATCTACTTGGGAGGCTGAGGTAGAAGGATTGTTGGAGCCCAGGAGTTCAAGGCCAGCTTGGGCAACATAGCAAGACCTTGTCTCTTTATAGAAAACCACACACACTTACACACACACACACTTACACACACACACACACACACACACGCAACTAAGACCTAAGCCAGTTTGGTAATCTACCATATTTGGTTATTTATGAAAGATATCAGTGGCTTTTCTTTTCTTTCTTTCTTTTTTTTTTTTTTTTGAGATGGAGTCTCTGGCACCCAGGCTACAGTGCAGTGGCACAATCTCAGCTCACTGTTGACTCTGAATTGCTAAAAGATAGGCCGAGGAGACTAAGAAAGGGAAAACCTTCTTCTTCAATTAAAAAAGTAGAATTGAGATCAGTCTTCATAATTAGTTCTCAGACTGTTCCAGTGGTAATGATACAACTGATTAATTTTTTTTTTCCATTTTATATTGTTAATCTTTCTTTCTTTTTTGGTGTGTGACAAAGTCTCACTCTGTCGCCCAAGCTGGAGTGCCGTGGCGCAATCTCAGGTCACTGCAATCTCCACCTTCTGGGTTCAAGTGGTTTTTGTGCCTCTAGCCTCCCAAGTAGCTGGGATTACAGGCACATGCCACCACACCTGGCTGATGTTTGTATATTTAGTAGAGACAGGGTTTCACCTTGTTGACCAGGCTGGTCTCAAACTCCTGATCTCAAGTGATCCACCCACCTCAGCCTCCCAAAGTGCTGGGATTACAGGCTTGAGCCACCAACCCTGGCCTATATTGTTAATCTTTATATTAATTCTGCCTGCTGTTTTTCATTTGGTGTTCTTGCTAAGCCGTAATGTTTGGAAAACTTTATTGAGATGTACAAACTCTCATTCATTGAGCCAAGGAGCATTGTTGGAAATATATCATTGAATTATGTATTACATTTGGGCTATAATACACATTATTTTATCATGTTAAAAAAGACCTTATAATTCAACTGAAGTTCAAAATATGTCACACTTTCATTTTCTGTTTCAGTCTACCATTGGAATAAACCAGTGTTTAAAATTTTTAATTGAGATATAACTTACATACCATAAAATTCATCCATTCAAAGTGTGCAATTCAATGCTTTTTAATATAGTCACAAGGTTTTGCAACCATCAGCACAATCTAAGTTTAGGACATTTTAATCAGCCCCATAAGAAACCCTGTAACTATTGACAGTCACTCTCCAATCCTCCCCACCCCCTGGCTCCTGTAATCATTAATCTACTTTCTGTCTCTATAGATTTGCCTACTCTGCATATTTCATACACAAGGAATCCAATACAATGGTCAACACATAGTTTTTGACATGAAAAACCATCTGAGCTGTGTCATCTTAGAATCGTGTAATAGGAGCATACTAGCTGCCAAATAAAAACAAATCCAGCCTTAAGTAAGGAGACGCTTTATTCAGAAAAACTATTTCAATAGAGAGAACATGTTGATTTCAGAAACATGCAAGACTCGGCTGGGTGTCTCTAAAAGACAGGGGGAAAAAATGTGCAAAAGTTTCCAAATCCAACAGAAAAGTCTTAGCAGCAACTTTTAATGTTGGGCAAGCACGAGGGTGTGATCGTTGGGGATTGACAGGAAACACGTCTGGCGGTGGACAGCTAGACTCTCAAGATAAGCTGCAACAGAGGCATGTTCTGCATTTTAGGGCTTGCTCGGGACTGGGGACAAGCCAGAGTTCAGGAACCTGTGGGAGGAGAGAGGCCTGACGAAAGTGTGATCAAGACAATGAATAGGGTAGGGAATGGGCAATTATGAATACTTGGTCATGGTAATTAACTCTAACGGACTCCCAAACTTCCCTGCCTATGGTGCTGGGTGGTGAAGCCTCCTTCCCACTAAAACATACTGCCACCTTCCAAAACTTTCAGATACAAAGAACAAATCCAGTAGGTAAGAACATAAAGCAGAAGGCAAGCTAAAGGGAAGAAAGGATGATGAAGGGATTGTACGAATCTAGTTGGCAGGGAGGTGACTGAAAAGCTTAATAGGATGAAAGTGGGCATCATTATTTTGTATCAGGCTATTATGGCTTACTTGAATGTGAGTTTACTAGTTTAAGTGGTTAGTTTCTTGTCAGAGAACTTCATGTAACAGTTTTATTCTAAATGCCGTGTTTGGGTTTCTAATACATTTCTCCTTCTATTTCCCTTAAATCACTTACAAAAGCCAAAAGTCTTTTAGCTTTCCTTAGGAGAGTCTATAAGCCATGATGTGAAAGTCAGTTATTCTTGTTCTGAGCTCCAAAATTCATTATAAAATCCATTCACTTTTGGTTGGATTCCTACCTAGAGCTCAGATGTAAGATTAGGAAAATAATTGTGTTGCTGTAAGTAGGTTTTGTTCCCTACAGACTTTTCTATTCCTATTTTCGTTTTATTTGAAAGATCATTTAGTCTTGCATTTTTGTCAGTTTCCTTTTTCTTGTTTTATTTCTGCTTTTCTTGTTATTTCAAAATAAAGAATCGGAAGATTGTTTTGTTTTTTTTTTGTTTTTTTTTTTTTTAGGCAACTGAATTTAGATGACAGGTACTTGTTCTAATGGAGTCACTCTAACCAGCCTGTAAATTCTACTCCAGTTATTTAAAAGAAAATTCTTTCCATGGGAAAAATTGCTTTTAAATGGAACTCCAGTGCCCCTTCGTGCCTAATGAGTTATTTGGAGCAACATCGCTGCAGTTGTCAGGCCCGAGTTGTGGTTCATCAGTAGCCCGAGATGTTAGTAGCTGAGCAGTGTCGCACCCTAGGGAGTTATCAGTGAAAGCGTAGGTGTTCAATGTGTCTGGGATCCAGAGATGAGTCAGTCGCTGTGGGAGTTTCTTTGGCAGGTAATTTTATTTTCCCCATGGCTGGAGATAATTACTGTGCTAAAGTTCTGTGCAAATATGACGTTAAAAGGCTTTGAAAATCAGGGTAAGCAGCCTTTCTTTCATTCCAAGTAAAAGCCAGTTGTGGGGAGGGGGTAGAGTGGTATGACAGTCCAAAGAATCTTTTTAAAAAACGTGTTACTTACTATAGATTAACCCAATTTCTATTCCGTGGAGCTGAACATTACTTTGCTTTTTATGACAGTGCATTGTGTGAGGAACACGCCGGCCTTTTTAGCAGAAAGACTGCATCGAGCTTTGAAGGTTGGTCTGGAAAGTTCGTGTGCATTCTTAGCGTCCCTTAATTCCCTTGGGGAAGTATGCAAATAGTAGAACAAATATTAAAAATTAGTTATTTTAATTTTATTTGAACATTTTAAGATAAATTATATTACAGCAAATCAAGGTATAATACAATACACTCTTTACACAGACACTTGATTTTCTCTTCAAAATAAACAGACCTGGATTTATGAAATAATTTTTTTTCTAAGTAGGTATAGCTTGATTTGTATTTAGCTAAAACAGTCTCATTTTCTCTAATATGACAAGTTTCAGTAAATGCTAATATTCCACTTGTATGAAAGATGAAAATTTATGTATAATTTTAGATTTTAAAAGTTCATCCTCTATTTTAAATAGAAAATGAGAAGACAGGCCGGGTGTGGTGGCTCACGCCTGTAATCCCAGCACTTTGGGAGGCCCAGGCGGGTGGATCACAAGGTCAGGAGTTCAAGACCAAACTAGCCAACATGGTGAAACCCCGTCTGTACTTAAAATACAAAAATTAGCTGGGCGTGGTGGCAGATACCTGTAATCCCAGCTACTTGGGAGGCTGAGGCAGAGAATTGCTTGAACCCAGGAGGCGGAGGTTGCAGTGAGCTGAGATTGTGCCACTGCACTCCAGCCTGGGTGACAGAGTGAGACTCTGTCTCAAAAAAAAAAGAAAAAGAAAAAAAAGAAAATGAGAAGGTAAAAATATGACTTAATGTTGATAGAATGTCATATTTCTTTTCCACTTAGATTAGTTTTCTACAGTAGCTAATTTGTCTACTAATTTGTCTCATAGGTTAATAGTATTCTAATCCATATAGAGATAGATACAGAAAAGTATTGACCACATTATTTTCGCCACTTCACAGTAAGTGCAGGCAGTAAAACTTGTTTTAGAATGCCAAACCTCAAACTTGAGACCCAGTAGATCCCGTGGCCTCTCAAGCTGCCTTACTTAAAATAAACCCAGCTGAGTGGGTGGCCTTTAATGATGCCGTAACCCTGTGTTTGCTTGTCTGTCTTTACTGCCAGATGATGAGCTCCATGAGTACAGGCTCTTGTTTATCCTCAGACCCTAGGCCAGGGCCTTGTGCATAGAAGATGCTTACCTCGATCTCTTTACTGGCCATTTTCTGCAGTCCCGCATGTACCTTCAAAGTTATATCCCAAGTGAACACATCCTTTCCCTCAAGTCACCCAGCCCCAGATCTGCTCCCCTTCCCCTGTTCAGTCATCCCAGAGTATGGCCCCAACAGGAATTTGCCCAACTCTCTGAAGTCATACCATTACTCCCCAGCCTTGTTGACTAAGCCTCAGCCACCCCAGGCTTCTTTCCATTCCTCAACTGTGGCAAGTCTATTCTCACATCACAGTCTTTGCATCCATTCCTTCTCTGGAATGCTCCTCCTCTAGATCTTTCTCTAGCTGACTCCTTCTCATCTTTCAGGTCTCAGCTGTCCTCCTGAGAGAGGTCTCCCCTAACTATACCAGGCCAGTTGGTTCCCTTTCAGTCACTCTCCACGCCATTTCCAGCTTTATTTTCTTCATATTTCTGATCACTATTTACTTAAGCAATAGTTAATTTGCTTTACTGTCTGTCTCCATCTACTAGAACATAAGGTCCATGCAGACAGAGATATAATCTGTTCTTTTCACCACCATATGCACTGAACATGGAATAATGCCTGGCTATAGTCGATGCTCATAAGCATTTGCTGGACATAGATGAATGGAATATCATTTAGTATGTTGGCCATCATTAGGTCAAAATCCACCTAACTGCTCAGCTAGAAATTTTACGCTATCTCTCTTTTTCATTATCCTATAGTGATACCTCATTATATTTTGTCAATCCATTTACATAAGCAACTCTCAAATCTTCCCATTTTCTCCATCCCTACTGCCTTTATTCTAGGGATGGCCACAGTCATCTCTTTCCTTAATTACTCAGTCTCCTCAAGATGAGTCTCAAAGCCTCAGTCTTACTCCCTTATCTTCACTCTACTCCTACCTTGCAATCTGTTTCTCATGCTGCAGTCAAAGTGATTTTCTGAAACCACGAATTTGATCTGATCTCAACATTCTGATGTTTAAAATATGACAGTAGCTCTCCACACTTAGGATGAAGTCAGAATTTCATTTCATGGTTAACAAGGTCTGGCCTTTCCAGACACTTTTCTTGTTATCCCTATTTGTTACTTATGTATCCTTGAACGTGGCATTCTTTCTTGCCCTAAACCTTCACACCTGCTATTTCCTCTACAGGACCTTTCTATCCTCCCTGCATGAACCTACTCCTTCCCCTTGTTGACTGTTTAGTCCTTGCTTAAATGTCACTTTCTCAGACTTATCCTAATCCCTAATGTTTCTTAGGCCCCCCTGAAGTATGCTCCCATGGTACCCAATATTTTCAACATGTCAGACTGTTGTGCAATGGCTTACTTTCTTGCCTGTATTCTTTACAAAACTGGAAGCTTAACATGGGTATCTTATCTCTGTTTTGCAGCATTTAGCATGATGCTGGCACAGAGTAGGTGCTCAACAAATATTTCTTGAATAATGAATGATGAGTTTGATAACAAATGAATAAGAATCACTGTAGTTGAATATTTTGCACACCATTATCTGATTCTTATAAATATAAATCTCCATGTTGCTTTGTGACCAATGACATTTGTATTGTGAACACCTGCATTTCTTAACAGGGTGCTGGAACTGATGAGTTTACTCTGAACCGAATAATGGTGTCCAGATCAGAAATTGACCTTTTGGACATTCGAATAGAGTTCAAGAAGCATTATGGCTATTCCCTGTATTCAGCAATTAAAGTAAGTCTACTTTTAAAAATAGCAAAACATATTTTGCCCTTCTCTACCCATCTCCTTACTCTTATATTCCTTAAAATATAAAGATATATGACTTAGATTTCTCTCTCCTTGTCAACGCATACATGTGTTGTCTGAGCTTAAAACAGTAGCTGCAGTGTCCCTTATTTTCAGCTCTAAAATCCCAGGCATATAATAGACACTCAATATTTTTTTTGGTGTACTAGCCACTAATTTTTCTTCTTCTGTGAATTACATATGCAAATTGTTTACCTGTTTTTATATTGTACCGTATGTATTTATTTCAGTCTTTATGACAATGTAAGTAAAGAAAAATATGTATTTTAAATTTCCTCTCTGTTTTACATGAGACAGCATGGTTCTGCAGCTTAGAGTGCTTCTCATTTCAGTATATAGGAAACTTTCTCGTTTTATTTAATAGCTGTATTATCATTCCATTGTTTGTGTATTTGTACTCACCATAGCAAACAGGCTTCCAGTTTATTGCTATTACAAACAATGTTGTATAATGCATACACCACTTCCTCAGGTACGAATGTATCTTTATGAATTCTCAGAAGTAGGATTGCTTAGACAGATGTAAATGCATTTAAAATTTTGACAAATATTACCAATCGAATTCCATTTTGCAATTCCATGAGGAATGTATGAGTCTTTCTTTCTCCATAGCCTTAGCACAGAGGGTATTTTCAAACTTTTGGGTTTTTAAAACATTTTTTAGAGATGGGGTCTTGCTCTGTTGCCCAGGCTGAAGTGCAGTGGCTGTTCACCGGTGTGATCATAATACATTGTAGCCTAGAACTCCTGGGCTCAAGCAATCCTCCTGCCTTAGCCTCCAAGTAGCTGGGACTATAGATAAACTTTTGGGTTTTCATAGTCTGATAGGTGAGGAATTGTATCTCAGTGTAGTTGTAATATACATTTTTCTTACTATAAGTGAGACTGAGTATATTTTCATGTTTTAAATAACATTTGTATTTCTCTTTCTGTGATCTGTCTTTTTACATTCTTTGTCCACATTCTTTTGGGTTTTTGTTCTTTTTGGTCAGTTTCTAAGACCTTTTACACATAAGGTAGACTAACCTTTTGTCTGGTCATATTTCCCAGTCCGTTCTTTGTCCTTTGACTTGGCCGAATGTATTTTTTTCCAAGCAGAGGGTGCACATCTTGTTTAATTAAATTTATCAATTTTTACAGTTTTTTAAATTTTTTAAAAAATCTAGTCCCTTCTGTTTCTTTCATTCTGGATAAGCATCTTCCTAAAATGGGCTCCTTCCTTTCTGTTTTAAAGCATGAAAACCATTTTCATTGTTTTCAGATCTCAGTTGATATATTATACATAGAAACTTCAAATAAGTTACAAATTATTTGAATTAATAAGGCAGTAAGGCTGACAAATTGTACAAGAGGCTTCTGTACCTTAAGCTCATGGTTCAAAAGTCATAGTCCCAACAGGAAGATGGCAACTAGTTAGTGGTAAACTAAGGAGCTAGCCCCGCACCTGCTCAGCAGCCTTCCATTGATTTACTTTTCTACCTCCGTGCTCCAGACCACCTATGAAAGTCTCTAGTAAATGAGTGATAGAGAGTGTTAGTCCAAGCTGGTTCCCTGGAACAAAGTGTAAGCTGAGATTGGTGAGTGGAGCAATCCACAGTCCTTGCCTCCAAGGCCACACTGACCAGGGGAAAAGATAGGGTTAGGGCTGTCTTCACAGAGGACTTGCAGACTATGCAGACCTCTCCATCTCTTTGCTGCTCCATCTACCCTTGAATGTCTCGGGGAAATCAGCACTAGAGAGTGTTGGACCCAGGTGGACTCTCCAAGGTCTAAGCTGAGAGTTGGGTCCTAGAAGGCGATCCAGGATGAAGAGGGAAGCAGCAGCCAAGCAGAGAGTGTTTGCTCTGAGCACTGAGGGTCCAAAACTGGGAATGGAGTCTATGCTGATTAGATACCCTAAGCTGTGGATCTTTATGCACCATGGACATCCTGGGTAGCTCCCAGCAGCACCCTCTCTCAAGCCCCTACAAGGCTGGAGCCCTACCTCTGTGAGGGAGCTTACACCCAGCGATGGCCCCTGGGGACACCTGGCTTAGACCTCATTCCAGTGTCACTGCCAGCAGCTGGAGTCTTTGGTCCAACCTTCACTATGGCCCTACCCGCAATAGCCACCCTTGACCAGGCATAAATATTAACCTGGGTCTTTCTGCAGCTATCTTGGGAAGGTTCCTGCCTCTGACTTTACAAATGGCTTATGAATGAATGAATGAATGAATGAACATCAATCAGTTAACTAGATTCATTCACTAAAATCTTTCTCTTTTTAATCAGAGTTTTTGTTTTTGCACTAAACTTTTACAGAAAGAGATGCTGAGATGCATGAATAAGTTGAAATCAGGAACTTAACTCAAAAAGGCAGTTCTCAGACTGTGCCTGGGGCTTAGCACAAATTGCATCAACTGCTCACACTCAATTCTATTTGAATCAGTCCTGACACATCAAAATAGTTTCAATCATCAGAGAAAGATTCAATAACGTTAACCATATTGTAGCTACTAAGGCAGAAAAATAGACTCACACATTTTCTAAAGATTGTCAGTAACAAGGTTGAGACATAAAGAGGGCTTTCAGTTCACCTTCAGCAAAGCAGAAAATTAAATTAACCAGTGGCTCTCCATTCCCCAATGGTCTGGGTAATTGAGGCTTATTGTATTAGAAAACATTTAAGCTATTTGTAGTTGATAGAAAAGAAAAATCCATCACTGAAAACTTCAGTTTGCAATTTGAAGTAATATAAGATTTCTTTATTTCTACTACCTAGCATATATTATTAAGTAATCTCATTATAGTTTTGCTATTAATGAACAGGATCTTTTTAGATGGTTGTTTTTGAAATTCAGGGGGTAGAGTTCCATTTTGCGTATTATTTCAGCCTATAATCCTGCCTGTCTTCTTCCTTCTACCCATTGTTTAGACATTTCTTTGTCCATTGACACCTTTCTCAGGGGGTGACTGGTGGAAAGGAGAAGACAAGGAAGAACAGAGGTGAAAACCAGTGTGTACCTCTTATTACTTATTAAGAAGATGTTATGGAAAATTTAGATGAAATTATGTTTTCTGGTAGTTTTCCTTGGTGGACAGATTCTGTGTTTACTTAATAAATAGCAGAATTCCAAGTTTTTTATGGGAAAATATAGTAGTCACTCACAATCAACTCATAATCTATGTGGAGACCTGAGGTAGCTATAAAGAAACAATTGGAAGATAATAATTGAAACAACATACAATTAGATACTAGACTGTTGAGTACAGAGCTAGTAATATCGGAATTGAGAAGAAAAGACGTTTGGGGTTAGAGAAATGGGTCTTGAGCCTGCCTTTCAGGTGAACAAGCATGTGTTGAGTGTCTCCTATGGGCCAGGTACTCTGCTGGAGCATTTACCTTTAAGACCCCAGGTCAATAGGGTCTTAAAGGTAAATGCTCTAGAAACAGGTATGGGAAGAGGCAAGAGGGAAAGAAGTAATAAGGCACTTGTTTGATTAGAGGGTCCACCTTGGGGAATATTGAGAAATAAAATCCAAGTAGCAAGATGAGTTCAGTTGAAAGAGAGCTTTGAAATCAGCAAATTCATTCATTCAATTAAAAATATTTATCAAATGCGTATTATGTGCTAGGCTCGGGGTTATAATTATAAGCAAAGGGATGGGGTGGAGGAAGACATTTTCTGCCCTCATGGAATTACAACTATGTTTAATGTAAAGGAAAGCGACATTGTGCTAAAAGATCCTATAATAGGAGGACTTTTACGGGAAAGGCTTCTATGAGAAAGTCATGATTCAGATCTGGAAAATAAGTAGATATTAATAAGGCAAAAGTTATGGAGGTAAGGGAGCCAATAGAACATTCTAATAAAAGAAATGACAAATAGAAAGGCCTCATGGTGGAGGAAGCATAATGAAAAATGAGGATGTAGGGGCCAGATCATGCACGATCTTTTTGGCAATGTTTAAGGAATTTTGGCTTTAGCTTAAGAGTAAGGGGAAGCCATTGAAGAGTTCTGGGCATGAGCTCTTGAAGAGTTAGTATCAGGATCATGAAAAGATCCCTGTGAGATCTTCTTATTCTGGAGAATAAGAAGGGCTCAAAGGATATTTAGGAGCTAAAACTTAAGGGACTTGGTATAATATCTTGGTGTGAGGAAAGGAAGGTAGCAAGGATGACACTCAAGTTCCTAACTTGGAAAACAGATAGTGAGGCCATTCCTTGCAAGAGGATCAGGTTTTAGGGTTTTTTTTTACTTTTCTTTTTGGGGAGTTGGGGGAAGTTTATGAGTTTGGCTTTACATGTGTTGAGTTTGAGATGTCTTTGAGCCCTGTAAGATATGTGGAGAGGTCAAGTAAGTCATTAGTGGTATGAAATATACTTTGAGCTACTTGGATGTATTTTCTTGATTAACTGGTAGAAGGCCTAATTGTTTACAATTCTGATCAGAGATGTCTAGAAGGAGCTCTTTTAATACAAAGCTGGAGCATTGTTGACTTGTCAGCTCTGCTATTGCAGAGCAAGACAGGAAAACCAACAGCATAAGAACTGAAATCTATACAAAAATGAAGAATATTGAGTCATATATTTTGTGAAACAGACAAATGAACAAGAAATAAAGAAAACAGAACAATATATGTAAATGCCTCTTCTGTCTTACTATGAAAGTAATGCTTAACTTCTTCACTAAATGAGCCTTCTCTGAGACTTCCTTTATATTACCACTTACTCTAATATTTATCCCAGTGACAGCCGTTTCAAATATGAAACTTAAGTGATAAAAAGTGCTCACTGGTTGGGTTGCCTCAAATAAAATAAAAATAATGTGAGCATCTTACACAATCCAGGTTGAAAGCCAAGTTTTACCTCCTATGAAGTCTTTTGCATTACAAACTTGCTATCTTTGCCCTTTAAGCCTCAACCTCACACGGTATCTTTTCTGAACAACAATCTATTTTTGGTTGGCCTTGGGAAAAGGAACTGACAAACATATTCTTTAAAAATGTGGTTCATTTCACTTTCCTAAGTCAGGCAGTGTAGCAGGGTATTAAGGAGCCAGGATACAGGGATTCAAATCCTGCTTTTGTCACTTATTCTCAATAAGATTTGGGGCAAGTTTCCTAACCTGTTTTTCTCATTTTACTTATCTATTACATGGGGAATATGTATAGTACCTATTGCAGAGAGCTTTTAAAAGGGTTAAAGTAGCTAATACACATTAAGCCTTTTGAATAGCAAGTATTTGATAAATATTATTAAAACTATAATCTTTTGAATTTTTTAGAAATTGATGTTATGTAAGTGATGCAATCTTATTTTATTAAACCCAAATTGACATGTAACTACAATATATCAAGAAGAATCTAAATGTTATTTACTGTGAAGAAGATCCTGGTCAGAACATAATTGCACTCAGGTATGAATGAATGATGGAATTGCAGGTACATTTTACTAAATGGTATAGCTCATGAGTCTCACACCCAGGTGAATTCCCTAGTGCTATAGGATTTGATTCATTTATGGTCTCCCATTATTTATACTGTGTTTGTTCTTCATTTATTTTGTTCTTTGCAGTCGGATACTTCTGGAGACTATGAAATCACACTCTTAAAAATCTGTGGTGGAGATGACTGAACCAAGAAGATAATCTCCAAAGGTCCACGATGGGCTTTCCCAACAGCTCCACCTTACTTCTTTCTCATACTATTTAAGAGAACAAGCAAATGTAAACAGTAACCTGTGTTCCTAACAGGAATTCTCATTGTTCTATAACAACAACAAAAACGATTATTATTTTAGAGCATCTCATTTATAATGTAGTGGGTCATAAATGAAATTTAAAATGGCATTAAGGATCTGCAAATACTATCCAACTTATATTTCTGCTTACAAAGTAAGAATCTTTTTATAGTTCTAATCCATTAAATATAAAGCAAGATAATAAAAATTGTTGCTTTTGTTAAAAGTAATTTGTTTGTTTGCTTTCAGAGCTTGCCAACATTGTTTGATGCCTGGTGCCAACAACTAATATTTTAAAACATGTTTCTATATAGAAGCTGTTACTGCTTCAGTTTATCACCTTGTTAATCACACTTTTCTTTAAGAAACGAGTAAGATGAAGATGTATGTGACCTGGCCTACCCTTTCTAGTTGTGATCAAGCTATAGGAGTGGCAATGCATGAGAAGTTATTTCAGCTTTCAGAAAACATCTGCTGAAAGATTAATCTAACCACTTCCTGTCTGAATGGCAAGCATGAATTATGGTTGCTTCATGCTAAATACTACTTTCCCAGAATGGGCATTTAGAATCAAGCCTCTAAGGTTTCCTTTTCTCTTGAGTTGGCAAAACTATGCATTTAAAGAATCCCTCATGCTGTCTTTGAGTGGGACCTAATATGAAATACCTTGACTGATATGAAATAGAAGAGGTGAAAAAAATTCCATTTAGAGTTATTTTCCTGGACCAGAATAGAAACGATCATACTGGCCATGTGCAGTGGCTCACGCCTGTAATCTCAGCACTTTGGGAGGGTGAGGCAGGCGGATTGCTTGAGCCCAGAAGTTCAAGACCAGCCTGGGCAACCTAGTGAGACCGTGTCTCTGACAAAAATACAAAAATTAGCCTGGCATGGTGGCACACACCTGTAGTCCAAGCTACTTGGGAGGCTGAGGTGGGAGGATTGCTTGAGTCAGGGAGCCCATTTGGCAAGTTAGTTCTGTAATCAATATTATAAATGTCAGTCATAACTAAGATGATGACAGGAGATAATGAAAAAAAAACTACTTAAATATTTGGGAGACAAAATTGAGTAAACATGGTATTCAAAGTAACCAAGTGTCAGTCAAGTATGCCTTCATGATTTTGGTGTAAGTGATGTAGTGAGTAACTATATCACGAAGCAATAAATCAGTGTTAATACTCATTGAGTGCTTACTATGTATGAGGTACTATGTTAAACAGTATAGTATATTTTAATTTGTTAATCCTCAAGGGACCTTTCATGTAGATACTAACTCAGATATAGAAATGGAAGCTTAGAGAAATTAGTAACATATCACTGTAAGAGCCAGGTAGTCCAACTCCAGTGTCCAGGCTCTTAACTACTATTTTGCCTTAGAATTTATCCCATCCCAGGGCCACTGTTATCTTCGATGCCTAGTGCTTAGATTAGAACTGTGCTCAGCACATAAAAGGCATTTAATACAGTGAATCTTTATTTTAGATCTCATTTATCCTCAGAGTTGTTACACCACTTATGTATTAAGTACTTTCTGAAACAGAGCATGGTTACGTGTGTCAATATTTCCCCTGTTCTGCAGATGAGGAAAATGAGACTCAGGTTAAGTATCTAGCCCAGGGTTACACAGGGGAAAGCCAAGGCTTAAGATCCAGGTCATCTGGACTTTAAAACTTATCTGTGGCTGGACAAAGTGGCTCACACATCAAATCCCAGCATGTTGGGAGGCTGAGGCAGGAGGATCACTTGAGCCCAGGAGTTTGAGACCAGTCCAGGAAACAAAAGGAGACCCGCCTCTACAAACAATTTAAAAATTAGCTGGGCATGGTGGTGTGCACCTATAGTCTTAGCTACTCAAGAGGCTGAAGTGGGAAGATCACTTGAGCCCAGGAGTTTGAGGTTGCAGTGAGCCACGATCGCACCAGCGTACTCCAGCCTGGGTGACAGAGCAAGACCCTGTCTCAAAAACAAAACAAAACAAAAAACCTTATCTGTGCATGAGAGAGGATGAAGAAGGTGAGAACTTGAAGAGACTAGTGATCACGTGAGATAATTCTGCAGACAAAAAAAAAAAAAAAAGCCACACTGAGATAACCCTCTAACCCTTCTACGAACATCTGTTTTGCCTTTTATGCATCGGACTTCAGGCAATTAGCTTTCTAAGCCACATACTCCTCTTTAAAACGAGAACAATAGTACCTACCTCATAAGATTGTTTTGATAAGAAACACTTAAAAGGTGTTCCACATAGTGCATAGCACATAGTAAACCCTCAATAAATGTTAGCCTGTATCATACAATTATCATAGAGTAGTATTCAATGGCCACATTTTTTATTGCCTCCAATTTCCACAAGGTGGCATGTGAAGTTCAAAGTGGATCCCATAGCTTCTGATCCCAATGGCAAAATCTACTTAACTTGCTTCAGCATAAAATGACCAAATCTAAACTGTTGGAAACGTCTTCTATAGAAGGTTTGTCGTGGTTCAGGCATCTTACTGTCACTGTAAACTCCTTCTTAAGGAAACATGTAGAATATTTAATTGAATCATCTGGTTTCTCTGGATTCCTGGGACCATCTTCAGTTACATGAATGTGCGTTAGCTCTGACATGGATCACCTGCAGAATTGAGTGCATCCATGTCGTCTCATTAGGCACTAAGTTTAGTCCCTGAAGATCGAAAGAAGAGAAAAATAGCCAGCTGCAGAGAGTCCTGGGCTCTGTGGTTGGTGAGCTGCCAAAACAGCAGGTTTGTACACTTCACTCTAGAGTAATAGAATGTTTGGTCTATAAATCAGGAGCTGCAAAAACGGCAAATGAAGATGTTGAATAGGAGATTCTCTAGCCTATTTGTAAAAATGTATTGAGGAAATTTTTAAAATAGCGTACAGTAGTTCAGACCTTTCTTCCATGTACCTTCCCCTTTTTCCATTTCCCCAATTTAATGCCCAATTAAATTTAATTGTAATTTAAAATTATGGATAACCCACAATTTTACTTTGTCTTTAAAACATTAATTTTGGAGTCATATCAAACTGGGTTCAAATCCTGGCTTCACCACTTACGACAGCAGCGTAGATAACAGTGTTTGACAAATAACCTCCATACAATTCAATTCTTTAGCTGACAATAACAGCACCTACCTTAAATATGTGCAAGGATTAAATGAAATAAAGCATGTGAAAAATTTAACTCAATAAAAATTAGTTACTAATAACTGCATTGGCATGGTGAGTTGCCAGTGAAGAGCAGATAGTAAGTGTTCAATAAGCATTTAGAGAATAAATAAATGATACTTGTTTTAGTACTACTCAGTGACAATAACTCTAAAGCTCTGGACGCTTCAGAGAAACGTCAGCTGAAATCAGTGTTATTAATATGTTGTCAATGTGTCCTCCAACGATAAGAGTCAACTGTGTTCACCTCAGTGATGAGGTTGCAGGATCTGAAGAAAGTTTTCTAGGCTTATTTCCTGCCCATCAGTTGACTGTAGTATGATATGTGAGGGAGCGAGTCACTTACTCTTTCTATACCTTAGTTTCCTCACTTGTAAAGCCAGGATGGCCATGCATGTGTCATTCAGAGTAGAGTGAGGTTTCCATAAGCCAGGTTAGGTGATGCAGTTACCACAGTGCCTGCACCCTTTAAGTGCTCAATAAACAGTAGCCATTATTCTCTGGCTCAGTTTGGAAGACTTACAATTGCTTACACAGTGCTATAATCACTTGGGGGATTTTGAGATGTTGTAAAGCTACCTCTTCTAGTTTGCAATTAGCAAAGAAAGACACAGCAAACTTCTTGGCAATTTCCTGCCGGTGAAACCTTGTGTTTTATGAGCCATGGAAAGTACCCCCAAAATTTTTTCAACCCCACCCCCAGCAAACTGACAGACTCAGATCTTTCCCACCCACTCTGTTTGTCTCTCGTGGGACTGTGAGAGTCAAGCAAGTACAGGTTGCTGTGTGCTGAAGCCTTTTTACTGGTGCTATATTTCTTTCAGTTTCATCAACTTCAGCTTTGTGCCAGTTTTACCCACCAGGGACAGCCCTCCTCTGAAACCAAAGTTTGCCTATTTCTGTAGAGTTTACAAAGTCAGCAGTGAGAGAGAGGAGAATTTCTAATGAGGAGGATGGTTACAGAGTAGGAAGAAACATTGAATGGCTGCTGCAGTAAACTGTTAAAAAAGAAATCCCAAACCCGGAATACCAAAGCAGCCCATTCAGCTGAAAGGTTTTATGACACAACTGCGCATAAGAAAAAACTAGCTATTAAAACGTACATATGCCCTCTTTGGGCACAAACTTTGTGGAACTGGGTGTGGCAATAAAGAGTGATCCAGGCCACGCATGGTGGCTCACCCCCGTAATCCCAACACTCGGGGAGACCAAGGCAGACAGATCACCTGAGGTCAGGAGTTCAAGACCAGCCTGGTCAACATGAAACCCTGTCTCTACTAAAAATACAAAAAAATTAGCCAGGCATGGTGGTGGATGCCTGTAATCCCAGCTACTCGGGAGGCTGAGGCAGGAGAATCGCTTGAACCCGGGAGACAGAGGTCGCAGTGAGCTGAGATCGTACCACTGCACTCCAGCCTGGGTAACAAGAATGAAACTCTGTCTCAAAAAAAAGTCGTCCAAAGTGACTTGCAGAGCACCAGACTTGCTGTGAAAAAACAGATGTGATTTGCCAGTTGCTATAATATCAACCACCAGACAAAAGGAAGTTTTGAAAAAGAATATTGAGATAAAATGAGCTCCTACAAAAAAGAGCATGCCACAGTGGGGTAGAAAGTAGAGAAGAACAAAGGTCCCAAGCGTAGGAAGTTGGTGAGAATTAGCCCAAACTCACACCTCCTTTTAGAGAACCGCAGCAATCCACAGCATAACTGGCTTACATTGGTTCCCCCGGCCACAGACCTCAGAAGAGTTTAGAGATTTCCAAAGTTGCACTTAAGCTTTTTGTTTTGTTTTGTGTCACAGAGCAAAGTCCACAAAGAAAATTCCAGATCATGTCTGCAAATTCTATTTAAACCAGTGTTAAATAGAATTTGGTATCTGATATTTTCATGAAAAATATTTTTCTTGCTTTTTATCAGTCAAACCAAACCCCTTCCGACCTTTATTCTTCCAACATTTATTACATGGTAACTGTAGTCCAGGAACTATGCCAGGTGCTGGAGTTATAAAAATGAAGAAAGCTGCACATTACCTGACTTCAAGGAGTTGATGA